AGGCTGAGACCTGCAGGATAGGAGGAGAATGGATTCCAGGTGGAGGCCACAACTTGTCCAAGATCTTGGCAGGAAAGAGCTTAGCCAGTGTCGTTAGAGCAAACTGCGGCTTGCGAGCCACGTGCGGCTCTTTGGCCACTTGAGTGTGGCTCTTTCACAAAATACCAACTTCTGCGCATGGACCACGAAGTTTCAATTGCACTGTACCTGCGCGCCCACACGTGGTATTTCGTGGAAGAGCCACACTCAAGGGGCCAAAGAGCCGCATGAGGCTCGAGAGCCACAGTTTGCCGACCACTGATTAGAGCATTGTGAGGAGGTGAGGGTGGTGTCTGATGATACTGGTAAGGAGACAAGGCCAGATCATGGTTTTACAATCTGTAAGAAGGAGTTCAGGCTATAACCTCAAGCACTGGGCATGGGCTGCTAGGTCAAATACAGAACAGCCAGTCAAATTTGAATTTCAGATAAGTAACAACTAACTTTTTAGTGTAAGTATGTTCTAAATATTACAAGGGACATATGTATATTAAAATGTATTTTATTGTTCATTTGAAATTCCAGTTTAACTTGGTATCCTGTTTTCATTGTTTTTGTTAAGTCTGATAACCCTAGTTGAGAGGTTGCTGAAAGGTTTTTGGTAGGCAAGAGATGTGAACCAATTTGTATTTTAAGAAGACCCCTGTGGCTGCTTTGTGGAGAATGGTAAAGGGTGGCAAAGTTAACTAAAGGTAGAAGTTCAAGGAGACCAGTCAGTCCAGCATAGCAACCCAGAGGAGGGGTGGTGGTGGCCTCACCCTGGGAGACCAGCGTTCCTCCAACCGTAATGTCCAAAGGAATCATCTAAGGCTCTGGTTAGAATGAACTTAATCCAGAGGATGTGGGGTGGGATCTGAGATACTACATTTCTAATAAGCTTCCAGGTGGTACTGACCTTGCTGGTCCCTAGACCAAGCATGTCAAACTCAAAGGCCAACACAGGCCAAATAAACAAGGTTTAAGTTTATGTGGGCTGCAAAAAAAACACACAAAAGCTTCAATTTCCATAGAAACATAGGTTTATTTCGATAGAGACATGCTGAATGCAAAGGACTGAAATAAATGAGTAATCATTAACAAAACAATAGAATATTTTAATAAGAATTAACATTTTTTTCTTGAACATTAACTTACCAGACACTGAATAACTGCGCAAATTAATAAGCATAACACAAAGAAACCTATTTTTCTTGTTCTCTGAAAGCGAAATATTTCCTGTTGCGCACATCAAACAAGTCAGTCTAAGATTAATGACGTGGCAGTCAGCTGCTAAAATATTCGCTGCTGGTATTAGTGGAGAGAAATGGTGCGCCTGTGTGTAAGATGCTAAAGCGAAATGAATGCAACACAGTTATTGTAATTAGTCACTAGAGAACGTTGTAGATCATTACTAATAATTATGTATAACAGGATATTGTTAAAATTAAGTGACAAAATTTTTATTAAAACTTTTGTTACATACTGTTATATTGTCTGGGCTGCAAGTTTGACATGCTTGCCCTAGATCAAAGGTTGGCAAACTATTGCCCATTGGCTAAATGGGGCTGCTGCTTATTTTTGTAAATAAAATTTTATTGAAATACTAGAGGCCCGGTGCATGAAATTCATGCACAGGGCAGCGGGAGGGTCCCCTCAGCCCAGCCTGCACCCTCTCCAATCCGGGATCCCTTGGGGGATGTCTGACTGCTGGTTTAGGCCTGATCCTGAGGCAGTCAGACATCTGTCTCACAATCTGGGACCACTGGCTCCTAACTGCTCACCTGCCTGCTTGATTACCCCTAACCCCTCTGCTGGTCACCCCTCACTGCCCCCCATGCCAACCTAGTTGCCCCACACAGCCTGCTGTTCAGTCGTTTGGTTATCCCTCACTATCCCCCTGATGGCCTTGTTGCCCCACACAGCCTGCTGCTCAATCGTTTGGTCGCCCGACCCTCACTAACCGCCCTGCAGGTCTGGTCGCCCCACACAGCCTGTTCGGTCATCTGTTCAGCTGTGAGGGCCCCTGGCTCATTATATATATAGATAGCCACTTGTTTCCATGTTATCTATGGCTGCTTTCATGCTATAACTGCAGAGGTAAGCAGTTGCCACAGAGACTGTATGTCCCATAAACCTAAAATACTTACTATCTGGCCCTTATCAGAAAAGTTTGCTGAACCCTGCCTGAGACCACACTTTGAACAGCAAGGGTCTAGACTTGGGTGCTTACCAGGGAGATGGAGAGAAGTGGGCGGATTCGAGGTGCATGTGAAGGCAGAGTGTGGTCTCCGCCGGTGTGTTCAGCATTCCCCTCTGACGCAAGCCTAAGCCCTGGAACTGCAGGATCTTCAACCTTACTTACTTACTGGGGGTAGAGTAAGCGAAGGGGGGATATCTTTGTTGTGACATCTGAGAACCTGGCTAATCGATGTTGATTCATCTTAGAAATATTAAACCATTTGTATTTTAAGGCCAAGGGATTTTACTTGGCATATGTTGTACATCTATGTACACATGGAGAGTGTAAAGATAGTGCAAAGTGGTACCTGGTAACCTAAAAGAATGAATTGTCAGAATAGTAAAAATTGAAGCTGGCTCCTGTCATTCTTACTGCTGGCTGGGTTTCCATCTCTCCTACCTCAACTTCCATGGTCTCACTTTCCCATGGGGATGGTCCGTGTAGTAATTATGGGAGGGGATACTGAGGCACAGCACTATCACCCTTCCACTTACTCTACCCCCAGGGAGAAAGTACCCTTTCCTCAACCTCTTTTCTATCTCTTAATGGAAGGGACTACCCAGTGTTTACCTGAGACAAATTACTCTAAAAGGAAATAGAACATGATTTTAGAAGGACAGAAGGACCATAATTCTATGTGCAATTTTTGTCATGGAGGCATTCATTTGGGGTTCTTAGAGTTGCAACTTTGACAGACCCTATGATAAAAGCACAAGGTACATAATAAACTTGTGTAATAAATCTATAAGGCAATGTCATACAACAAAGCACTTACGTCTCATATAGTGAACCTTCTTATTTCACTTATATAAAAAAAGTCTTATGTTAATTAGATGTTACCCAGAATTATGGTGATTATTTTGCAATATATACAAATATTGAATCATTATGTTGTACATCTGAATCTAATATGTTATATGTCAATTTTTAAAATGTGCATTAACTTAGAATTCAGTTGCTATTTATAAACATATTTATCAGATCTTAGGGAAAAAAAGTACAGTAATAATGTTAGCTTGGTATAATGACTTAAATTGTTTGCCTCATCTTTTCCTAAATGAAAACAACGCTTCATATTGAACTAACATTTGCATACAAAAACTATATAAAACAGATGTAGTTTAATATTGGGCTGTGCTCACTATCACTTGCCAACTTTGACTTTCAGGAATACTGATGACGTATTTCCACAATATTACAGGCTGCAACCTAGCTTTATCTCTGATGTTTACTTCCCCATTTGGTAAAAATGTACTATTTAAGTTGGGTGATCTTATCACACACATTAAGTTAAACATATTACTATAGACTTACACATACATACATTAATATATTATGGGTCATGGAAGTAGAGGTAGGAGAGATGGAAAACCAGCCAGCAGTAAGGACAGGAGTTGGCTTCAACCTTCGTTAGCCTGACAAATGATTCTTTCAGGTTACCAGCTACCATGGACTGACACATGCAAATTTTCAAATAGCGATAAAATTATACATTTCATAAAAATAAAATAAAGGTAAGTTAAAAGATAAAAAAAAATAAAATGACATCATTTAAAGACCACTCCAGGGGTATTAAAAGTTATGAATTTTGAGAAATTGCTTTGCGTATTTTAGCTTCCTAGCATGTTGTTCTATACACTGAAGTAGTAACATCAAATGGTGGCCTAGTGCTATGTTAACATCAAGTTAATTCCCATTTCTATGGAACATAATTTACTACTAGATACTAATTTAACACTTGGATGCCACAATTTGCCTTCAGAGTCGAGGGAAGTAGCTGTTTTGTAATGAGTCCTTATGATGTTGGAGTGTCCTGAGTGTTATTATTCATCTTGTGATTAAATGGGACTGGTATTCCTTTTCACCATTCGGCCATTACATAACAATAACAACCGCAAATAGGAGAGATTGAGCTTGTGTAACAGACGGAGCCATTTTACTTAGAAAGCTGGAGCCGTTCAGAGATAATGGATACAAGGCACATCAGGAGGGAGAGCTGAGCAAAAACAAAGTCTGTGTTGCTTTCATTTACAGCAAAACTTTCCCTTCAGGCCACATTAATGCAAAGAGCAACTGCTTCATGAAACACTCTT